CTTTCCTATTACAAACAATAGTGCATTAGAAAATATAATAAAAGAGAAAACTTCATTTATAATAGAAACAAAAGATGAAAGACCTGAGAATACCGAAGATTGGTGGAAAGAAAACAGATCTGTAAGAGTCACATACAGAATACATTAAAATGCCTCTCAGAGCCAAAAAGAAAGCCAACAAGTGGGAGGCACACTGTATTCTTTGATAAGACACTGAGTACCATGAAATACATCAGTTCTCTTCAATCAATCTGTAAATTTAATTCACTACCAATAAAAATAGCAGTTGGATTTTTTAATCAGACAAGCATAGACAAGCTCATTTGAAAGTTTATGTAAGAAATAACCAAAAGTGATCCAAGGAAAGTATTCTAGGGTGGGGAAAAAGACAGAGTGGAGACCAGTCCCTCTGGGTATTTAATGCTTTAAATGATATTAAAATTAAATTAGTGTAAGATAGGTAACAGGACATGGACAGGTTAATCAATGGACTAGAGTAGAAAGTAAAGAAATAAATGCAAATATATGTAGGAATATGTGTAGGAACAAGTTACATTTTAAATCAGTGAGTGGGAGAAACAGTAATCAATAAATGATGTCTTGTCAACTAAGCAGCCATTTGGAACAAAAAATAAAATGGATCTACATTTGATGTCTCACATGAAGATAAATTGTAGGTGTACCAAAGATTTAAACATGGAAGAATAAACCTTAAAAGTACTATAAGTAAACAGAGAAAAAGAGAACTGTTTTTCATGCTATAAAAAGAAGGATTATCCTATAATCAAAAACCTCATCCATAGATTACATTACACAAAAGTTAATATGTTCAACTTTTTAAATTAGAAGAAAAAAAAATCCTGGGGAGAAATGCTTGCAATTTATATCACAGATAAATTACAAACTTTATCAAATTTTTTAAGAATGCCTACAAACCAATGAGAATATGCACAGGAAGTTCCTGGAAAGGAAATTCAACCACTTCCCAATCAATTGATAAGATGTCTTAATATCAGTCTTAAGATGGGAAATGCAAATTAAAATCACAACACCATATTAGCAATCATCTATTATAATAGCAAAGATCAAAGCATTTGGCAATGTATTGCTATTGCGTGGGCAGGGTGTGGGGACAAGAACACCCCACCCATGACTAGTAGAACTGTAGACTGAAGAAACACCATGTACTGAAATGTGGCACCACCCGTTGAAATGTTAAATACCCATGTCCTTTGACCCAGCAATTCTGCTTTCAGAATGTATTCTACTTGTTTGAATTGTTGTGTTAAAATATCTTCACTCCAATATTGTTTGTTCAAGCAAAATTTTGGAAACACTATCAATCAATAGAAGACTGCTTAATTAAACTATATTTGTATGCAGTTCCTTTAGTTGTTGCAGCAATCCCATTTTTACTAACATGAAATAATTTCCAGGACACATTTTTCAAATAAAAAAATCAAGGTCTAAAAAAATAGAAAAAGGAAAATAGAAGCAAGGTTAAAAAAATCAAGGTATAAAAAAATCTAAGGTATAAGGAAAAATCTATGCTTGTACATGCATAGATTACGTCTAGAAAAATACACAAAAATCTAGTAACCATAAATCTTCTAAAGAAAGGAACAGAATGGCTAGGGAACAAGGAGGGAGGGAAATTTATTTTTCACTGACAACCCTTTCTTGCCTTTTTAATGTTGTAGCATAAGCCCTACCTATAATAAATATCAATATATTCTTTAAAGATATACTACCACCTCCCAACATTCCAGTCCTATTTCTAGAACTACGAATGATCTGTCTAGACAGATTCAAAGGATCTGGAGGCTAAAAGGCATCTTCCATTATCTAGTCCAGCTTCAGCTCTTGAATCCTCCCAACAAAAGTAGCACTAAAAATGCGGTCCCCAGACCAGCATCCTTAGCATTATGTGGGTGTTTGTTAGAGATGCAGAATCTCAGACCCCTCCCCAGACCTAGTGAAATGAATCAGAAATTATGCTGTAACTAGATCCCCAGGTGATTTTTTGCCCATTCAGGTCTCAGAAAGAGATGTTTCCCAATGATGCTTTTGTCTCATCACCATTTATCCTCTGCTGGAAAAACCCCAGAGAAGGAGAAACTACTTCTTTCTGAACTCATCTGTTCATCTTTAATACTTCCCCTAGTCCTAGCACCTGTAATGTGCCAGAAATTTTGTAAGTAATTAATCTTCACTAATCCTCCCAATAACCCTGTGTGTGAGCTTCCCAAGGTTAGGGGCAAGTACCACCAGCCCCGTAAGAATTTAGGTGGAATATTTAAATTACATTTTTACAAAAAGAACTACTATTCTCTTTTCAACATTTTCAATAATTCCAGAAAAAAATTCATATTTTGGTGCCACTGTGTCCTTCATGATTCTATAGATCACTGATAATTGCCTCTTAAGTATTCACCCCTTCATAATTCAGAATTACTTTCTCTCAACGGCTCAATTATTAAGTTATTATAATGAGCCAAAGCTGTCTTCCTAGAGCTTGCACTCACTAATTATAATTTTGCCTCTTGAGTCGGTCCATATACAGAAAGAACCAGCCAGGTGCAGTGGTGCAGGCCTGTAATCCCAGCACTTGGGAGACAGGTAGGTAGACTGGCATAAGTTCAAGGCCAGCCTGGGCTACATAGTAAGTTCAAGGCTAGTCTGAATTACATAGCAAACCCCTGTTCCAAAAAACAAAAAGAACCAAGATGGACAGTTATCTAATGAGAAGTTAAAATGTTCGACATTGAAAAAATAAATGGGTAGGAGTGGTACAGAAATATGTAAGAAAAGTCAAAAGAGAGTTGAAAAACAAATTTAAGGGGTTTTTTTTTTAGAACAAACAGCCTTCTAAAATAGAAGTGAGTGGAAATTTTTTAATAAATAATACTGTTTAACTGGATAATACTTTGGGGAAATGTATACAAACAAGTGTTAGATTAAAGAGATAAATGTGAATTAAACATGTTTATACTGATATCTTAGAGAATATAGGACATTCTTAAGCATAGCAGTGAAAGTACAATCATGAAAGATGAAATTAATTTTCAAATTTTAAACTTCTGTACAACCCATCACAAAGTGAAAAGGCAAATGACAACTGGGATAAAATGTCAGGAATATACATGACATCAGTTTATCCATAAAATATAGGTGGAATCAAGGAAATGAGCAAACAAGGCCAAGTAATGGAACACAAATTTTTAATGAGTACATTTTAAAAGTTTATTACCATTAAATAAATGCAAAGTAAAACATGGTGGTTATCAGATATAAAATTTGAAATTGTTTAAAAGTATTAAGTTTAGAGATGTGAGGATGTAGAGAAAGGAGCATGATTATACACTGATAGCAGAAATTCAATAGGTATAACTTTTTTCAACTGCAATATGGCTATTTGTATTTTAAAACTTAAAAATATTTTGATTTAGCAAATGTACTTCCAGAAACTTAACTTTCAGAAATAAAAATTGACAAAAAGATTAACCTAAAAGTATCTCAATACTCATAATGACGGAATGAAAGAAGAAAGGAAGTGTAAGGGGAAGAGAGAAGAAAGAAGGAAAGAAAACAGGGAGAGAGGGAGGAGGGAGGTGCAGGAGGCAGAAAGAAAGGGAGGAAGAGAGAAAGGTGAGAAGAAATGTAGATGTCCAGAAGTAGGAAAATGATTGAATAAGTTATTGTATGCCTGTCTAATGGGATGCAGAGTAATCATTTAAATTGCATTATAAAAGTGGGTTTGTTTACAAGAAATCACTGAGTGGGGGAAAAGACCACAAACTACTTTCAAAGCAATCCCAAAGGGAGATGTATAGGGTGGAGGTAGAAGGAAATATTTTTTTTAATGATGTTATTACTACAATGAGGTGATAACAAAAACTAAACTTGAAACAACCTAGCTTTCAATCAGTATAGACGAGATAAGTGACCAATTATGGTATAGCCATGTTATGGAGGCATCAAGAAGAATAAAGGAGGGCCAGGGATTTAGCTCAGTGGTTCTGTCACCTGCTTCACAAGCGCAAGGTCCCAAGTTCGATCCTCGGTACCAAAAAAAAAAAAAAGAAAAATGAAGTATATCTATACACATATATGTGGAAATATTTCTAAGATGTTTAATGGAAAAATTAAGATGAGTGTGAAGAATATGATCTCATTTGTGAAAATAAAAAGACATATAGCTATGGATATAATATGCTTTAATGTACATACATTTCTTCAAAGGATATTAAAAAGCTATAAACAGTGGTTAATTACAGAGCTTGGAACCTGGGTCAGAGAAATGGAAAGGGAGACTCATTTTAAAAACTACTTTTCTATAGTGTTTAAAATTTTCCCATGTGCATTTATTGCTACATGTATATACAAGCTCAACTGCTCATAGGAAAAAAGATAGATAAACTGATTATCACTGGCTGTTGAGACTGTGCATTTTATCTTCTATAGTTCACAAGCACTACTTATGCAAATTCACATTTTAATTATTTCCAAAAAATAACCAATACAGGAAAAATAAACTGGTACATTTAAAACATAAAATACAAAATTTTATGGAAGTCCTGACTTAGTTTTAGAATGTATTTATATATGTGTTAAAAATGACTAGAAGGAAATATGAATAGTTGAATTATCTGTTAACGGGCTTTCTGGGTGATTTTCTTCTTTATACTTTTCGTGTTGACACTAAGTTTTTCATGTTTAAAATTCATTGCTTTATAGTCGTAAAAACACATTTTGAAATAAAATGAAAACACAAAACTAAGCAATTCCCATATTAAAATAAATTTCCAACAGGGCAGAGAAAAGATGCAAAGAAGTGGGCACACTCGACATTAGGAAACAAAAACAAATGTTAGAGACCCCTTTGGGTAGAAGGAGGATCAGGTACAGGTGAGAGAGAGAAACAGAGGCTACTGGAGTCCACTTGATCTCCACCCAGAAAGCTAGAGAATCTTAACATTGAAGGAGACTCTCTACATTACCTGTTAAACTCTTGGTTGAACCCAGATCTTGTGGAACCCTCTGCTGCCCCACCTACATGAGGGATGCTGCTCTGGTCTTGCACCTGTTGACAGAAAGTGGAAATAGACATCAGCACCATACACTGATGAGGCCACCCTGCTCTCTGGATATGTTTTCCAATCATTTCTTCATTTCACAAATTATCGCCTTCCTAATATATGGAAAGTTTTCAATATGGTGGATTATGCTCTTTTCATTGTCTGCCAAACTCCAGCTCCTTTGCCTTCTCTCTACAGTGCTTGTGGAGGGAGGGGCCACAGCAAAAAGTTCCCTTGAGAAAGCCTTCCCCCACTACCTAGTACTCAAGTGTATTCTAAAGAGAGCCGCAGAGTCTACAGGAGCATTTGATAAGAAGGTCATGTAGGGGCCAGGGATTTAGCTCAGTGGTGCTGCCACCTGCCTCAAAAGTACAAGGTCCTGAGTTCGACCCCCAGTACCAAAAAAAAAAAAAAGGTCATGTTCATGAGATCCTGGGTGTGGGTCAAACAGGAACATATAGCCTCTCCCATAAGTTCTAGCTCAGTTCAGATGAGATTAGACTATTTATCTTCAGACAATTCCATGCATTACTCACCTTATACACAGGTAGGTGGCAGGAAATTTGCCACCGTGATGTTCCCATGGGCTTTGGCATGAAGCCCAAAAGGACAAGGCACTCCCTTGAGTAATGGATGAGGCAACTAATTTTAAGAGAATCTATTTGTGAGTGGGCATGAAACAGTTAAATTGCAAAATCCTTAAAGAGTACTAAGCAAGCAATTTTCACCTCTTGCAGCCCAGGGAGACTTTTGCAAATGGGAGAAAGGAAGCCACCATTAAGACAAGAACCCCTGGGTCATGAGAGGGGGCATTCCAGGCAGCACTCAAGCCTGAAGTCGGTGCCCACCTCCTGAATATAATGAGCGTACACTGTGTGGTGACAAATAAAAACATCTTCAGTGGTTATCAGCCCTCAGTGTGCTGCAACACCACCTGGGATGTATCTAAAATGACATATAGCCCAAGCTCCAGACAGTTTCATAAGTCTGGGTTCAGGGCTTGGCATAGATGTTTTAAAACTGGTCCCTCAAGTGATTCTAATGAATAGCTGGGACAAGAATAGACTCAGAAGAGAGCCTAAGACCAAAGCTTAGACCTTCCGGTCTGTTCTCTACCCAGTTGCCTGAAAGATCTTTCTAAAAAGGCATAGTCATCACCTCACTCCTTTGCTTAGAACCACTGAGAAGCCATCATGGCCTACAGTAAGATCCTCCTGAGTCTGATCTATAAGAGCCAGTCCTGCCTTCATCTCTCTGCTCACAGTCTGTGCCTCTACGTACTGAACTATTTCTCCCAAACTTTCACGCTGTCATGCTTTGTTAGGTTTCTGCTTTTACTGTCTGAATTTTCTACCTACACTCACACACCAGATTCATATACTTCTCTTTCAAAGCTCAGGTCCAAAGGCTCCCCTACAAGGCTTTTCTAACCTACTGCCCACTACTCTGGTGGAATGGGTTTCTCTTCTCTGGGGCTGGGGTACAGACCACTCTTCCAACATGTTACTGCCATTTTCAGCATACTGACCTTGCTCTTCTAGGATATATTACTATGACTGGTCATTTGCTGTGTTCCCAATAAATGGAGCCCCTTGAGGGTACCCAATCACCACCACTACCAGAAAGAAAAAAAAAAAAAGTAAATAGATGCTTGACGTTAACACACTCAGTCCTAACACCAGGCTGGCAAGGACAAGGTTACAGAGGCCAAAACAGCCAAAATCTCAACTAATGAAGTCATAAGACAAGCAGGCCACTTGTTAAATGAAATATTCTACCTCCAAAAACATACCTCCACAATCCAGAAGGCCACATTCAAGTTTAATCTTTTAGGACACCTTGGGGAGCTGCACTAAACCTAGGAGACACAAGGAAATCAATCCGTGCTCCCAGTCCAGGCCTGGCTCCTTCCTTTCCATGCACCAGCTCTCTTGTAGCATGAGGGGCTTCTCAGCACATAAGTGGTCACCCTTGCCTCCATGTCCAAACACCATCTGTGTCCTCCCCAAACACTTACTCCTGACCCTTCCTCATGCCCAGAAGTTTACGCAGTGATGTAGCCAGCCTAAGGACCTAGGTTAGGGGTCTACACAGGACTTAGTGGCTGTGAGTTGTTTGAGCAGAAAATCCAGGGTTCTGACTGTCTGAGGAATAGTGTAGAGGTGGAGGGAGCAGGCCCTGGGTGTGAGCAGCTCTTTCTCTTGGACTCATGGGCTCCTCCATCCATGGGGAGGGGTCTGGCTGAAGGACAGCTGAGCAGGGCTCTCTAAAGGGCAAGGTCCAGGGCCTGTCTTGTACAAATCCAAGGGCAGTCCTGGTAAGACCTGCGTCCTCTAAGCAGCGTTTACTGGCCCTAAACTAGGAACTTCTCTCTCTACTCTCAAAGCACCTTGTGGGTATTTCAAATTCTGCACTCAGCCCAGTGGATTGTGCAGCGATCTTCTCCTAAATCTATCCTTCTCACCACACTAGGAGCTTCTGGAGAAAAGGGAATGAATAATATTCATCACTCTGGATCCTGGGCATTTACACAGGGCCAGACCTTTCCAAGGTCCAATGAATGAATTCATGAAGCAAGGGATGGTGCAAGAGGACCCTACCCAGTCTCCCTTTACCTCTCCAGGTAAGGATTTCATTAGGAAGCTTTGGAAGACAGAGTGACAATTAAAACAGCAATTGAAATAGACTCTAGTCATACATATAACCATTCATGATTTATTAGATTTATTAAAAGTATGTATGGGGAAATTGAGTTGTTCATTTCCTGCTGGATTATCAGTTAGCAAGTGACCTTTTGCTATCTTAATAAAGTCATTGTTCTCCCCTAGAAAAAAGATGCTCCCAAGTACCTGTGAGAAGGACCAAGCTTTGAGCACCTGGGGTAATCGGTCCCTGAACAGGGCACAGCAGCAGCAAGCGCCTTGACATTTCCTTGTGGAAACTGAACTGAGCTACTTCTGCATAAGCAAAGAGTACCTATTCTCTCACTCATCTTCCTTATTTCAGAGGCAGGCCATTCAAGACCTTGTGGGTGGAACTAACTTGGAAAATAGATCCCTCCACAAGTGAATGTGGTCAGTGAGTCTCTGGACAGAAGTAGTTTGCAGATGGGATTAGAACAACTCTCCTACAGTAGGATGCTTTTTGCTTCATGCAGCAGTGGGTTATTTCCTTTTCTGAGGAATAGTGTAGGAAGGTGGAGGGAGGAGGCCCTGGGTGTGAGCAGCTCTTTCATTGGACTTATGGGCTCCTCCATCTATGGGGAGGGGTCTGGCTGAAGGAAGGCTGAGCAGGGCTCTCTAAAGTACAAGGTCAGGTCCTTGGGTTGTTTTTGTTTTCCTCCTCCTCTGGCGATTCACTCAGAAAGGTTCTGAAATTGTGCAATTGGCAGATGAATAGCCTGCACCCAGGGAGGGGCAGAAGAGTGAGCTCAGTGAATCACAGACCACAACAAAGCCCTTCCTGGCATGTCAGGCTCACTTGGCAAACCCAGAGGATGTAAAATTAACAGCAAGACAAGGAGCATCTTTGTTATTTGTCAACAAATTGCAGTGACCATTGCAGAATCTTGGCACTCTGACATGGGGAAGCCTCAGGGCAGGGAATAGGGGAAGGAGTAAACAAAATGATGGAAATCACCATTCCCCAGATGACCAAGGGCCACACAGGTGTGACAACAAGGATTCGTTTTATGACCTCACTGACTTATTTCTCTATCATGTTCAAGGAAATAGGAGCATGGTCCTTCAGTGCACATTGAGGTCATACTCTTAAGTGAAATAAATAGTACACATATGTATAAATACCAAATAGTTTCTCTGGTGTGAGAAATTGAAAGTGTAAATAAGGATCAAAATGTAGAATAGATAATGTGAAATAGGAAAAAAAAAAAAAGAAAAAAGGTCCAAAGGGGAAGGGGAAGTGGGAGGGGTAGAGGAAAAGAAAGAAGGGAAAGGAATAAATATGAGAAAAGGAAAAAATGGAAACAAAGTCTTTATAAATAGGGAGAGGTGGAGAGGGTGAAGGGAGGGCAGGGGAATGGGGAAAAAAATAAGAACCGAGAGAGATTATGTAAAGGTACAAGATCCCAATGATGAATGTCACCATACTGTATACCTAAAATGTACCAATAAACTTAATGAATAAAAAAAGAAGACTTAAATAACTGGCTCTTTTAGCTACCAGCTATGTGACCTTAGGCACACTGTGTGATATCTGGGCAATTTGGTCTCATTTATGTATAAAATGCAAGTAATATTTGCCCTACATGACTCATAGGAATATTATTGATACCAAGCAAGATAATGGGAGTAGAATTAGTTTGCAGGTATGAAGTTAAATACAACTAATATTTTTATTATTATTATTTATAGTTCAAAAATATGTCATCCAAAAATCAAATCCAGAGAGATGAGACCAAAGCCAATCTGATTGTAATGGGTTCACAGAAACACACACATTTGTAAAGTAATATAAAGCCTGCTAGTTGCCATATATTCTATTTCCAAATGAAGAAAAAACGATACAAAATTGTCATCCATAGCACTTCATAAAGGGGCTTAGCTCCAGATCATCTGCACCGCTTCACTTTTTGATATCCAGTAAGCCCTGAATTCTAACTCTTTCCAGTTGGCATTTTCTGAGCACCTGTACCAGGCCAAGCCCAGTGCTGGTAACAGGGCAAACGAACACAACTAAGATAGCCATATTTCCTGCTCATGGTAAAATGAGGGAGAAAGACAAGTAAACCATTCACAACACTTCCTGTTACAGGTGCATGAGTATAAAGGATAGAGAATGGAAACAAAAGACAGGAACAGCCATTCCACTTGTGCAATCATAAAAGTTTCAGACAAGTGATTCTTAAATGAAAGCTTAAAAGATAAAATTGCCACATAGATAGCAGCTGGGAGAAATTCTCAATAGAGGAGGCTATGAGATCAAATGCCTTGATGCAGTGTTCAGGGCAACCAGAAAGTATGTGACCACAGGAGGGAAA